ATCGGGGAGGAAGCAACTTACCCTCCCTCTTATCCTGCCTCCTCCTGGCTGAATGAGGGCCGGAAGTGGGGCAGCTGGAAGCAGGGGGCGGGGCTTCGTCATGTGCCCCGCCCCCTGCACCTCACCCGGGGGGAACTGTGATCCCCCCTGAAATGACCTCTGATTTCATGCCAAGAAAACATGTCCATAGTCATATTTTATGTTCCTAAAGTAACAGAATGACTTTCAATCTGGAAAAGAAAAAAGAAGTGCTAATGTAGCTTTTTTAAAAAGAAGTGCTAATGTACCTTTTTTTTCAATTTTCCCCCCAAAATTCCATTATTTCCTGGAAAAAAAACCTGGGTTTTTTTCCGAGCTTCAAAATTTCTGGAAATTTTACATCTCTGGTCAGGCCTCACCTGGAGTCCTGTGTCCAGTTTTGGGATCTATGATGACGTAACCCGTTTTGGGTTCCCAATGGGTAGAAAAGTGGGGTGTAAAGGAACTAAAATAATTTTAAAATGCTAGGTTAACCCCCCCTCCATTTGACAGAGTCCTCTTGCCTTCCTGGGATCAGAGGAGCTTACTCCCCTTAAGGATGCCAACTCCAGACTGGGAAATTCCTGGATATTTGGGTGGTGGTGGTGAATTAGCAGCCATTTCCTCCAGGGGAATAGAACTTGTGGGCTGTCAATGAAATTGCTGAGCAGTCGGATTAGAATGGATAAAAGGAAGTCTTTCTTCACCCAAAGAGTGATGAACACATGGAATTCATGGCCACAGGAGGTGGTGGCAGCCACAAGCAGGACGGCTTCAAGAGCGAATTAGGTAAGCATCTGGAGCCACAACGTGTAGAGAGGAAGTCTCGGTCTGGGGCAAGTGATGATGCTCTGTGTTATTGGTTGCCTGGGGGGGGGGGGGGCTTCTAGTGTCCTGGCCCCACTGCTGGACCTCCTGATGGCACCTGGTATTTTTGGCCACTGTGTGACACGGACTGTTGGACTGGATGGGCCATCGGCCTGATCCAACATGGGCTTCTCTGATGTTCTTACGTTCTTCTCCCTGGAGTCTGGAGACCCATTACAATTCCTGGAGGTCTTCAGGGCCCATCTGGAGATTGGCAACCTTAAGAGGCGATCGACTCTAACGCCAGTCAGTGTTGTGCTCGGGCAGGGTATAACGCCATAGAGCCCACCCACCCCCCTCCAGAGCAGAGCCCCCTCCTCCGGAAGAACTGATTCCCGCAGTCCGGAGAGGAGCTGCAATTCCGGGAGATCTCCCGGCCCC